GTTTTCATGCATGTTCTCCTCAACTCAAAATTCGTCAGAATAATAWAATTTGCTTGAAAAATATTCTTCCTCGTCATTCTTAATTTTTCTTTGCTTGCTTCTCGTATAGTTATTCTCAAATTCAGTTCAAAAAAAATCAAATCTTGTGCCTTGAAAAATGTCAACAAACGGACGCTCGGGATATGACTTTCGGACAGTTGTCATGGTAATCGGTCGGAGATGGCAAAATATCGCCCTCGCGTGAGCCAATCAGATCGCGTGTACTATCCAAGTCATATAATAAAATGTTATCTACTTCTAGCTCCCAATTGTCCTCCAAAACTGAAATCAGTCAACGCCCTGTCTTCCACAACTCGAGAAGCAAGAGAAACACTCGCTAAGCTCGTGTTCCTAAGCTTGCTTTTCTCGTGTTTTTCGAACTCCCACCGTGTTTATATCAGAGGACAGAGACACAAGCGGCCGTTTTATATTTSTTAAATAATATTGATATCTACAGTACCAGAAGGAARACCATCAGGTGTATCTGCAACACCAAAGTCATCAACAAGCATTGAAGTAACATGGAAGGTATATTTCTTATAGGTAGAGGTCCGTCGTATGACGTCCCTTTGAATGGCTCGCATGTACATATAGAAGCCTGTCAAATCCCTATAGAATGTTCTTTGATAACATATCCAATCTTAAGTACATACACGTCGTTATCTTTTCAGAAAAAATCATATTCATTCCATGGAATTTAGCTCATTGTTTAATGGTTAGATTTAGTGAAATTATGGGCTTATGATGGTTTCGAATCTTCATGACCGCCTTTTCTTTAGTTTTTCATTGCTTTGTTTAGTCCTTCTCCACATAGTGTGTGTATAAAGAGCCTTCTTATAAGTACATAATAAACGACGTGTACAAGTTCGCCTTTGTATTAAAGTCGTATGACCAGATCCATCTCATATCTATCTCATGCCTATTGCTATTGTACATCTGCGGCTTATTATTGATTTGCAATGCCGCCCCGAAAGGCATGACCACTTCTAACGCTTTCGCTTTTTCTCCAATTTTACCTCAATATTTTCTAGTTGTCACGTTGGGCAAAATTCAACGGACCTTCAACTGGCGTTAGAATTACATACACTGATGCACGAAGAATCAAAAAGACAAAACTCGTTAGAAACGTCAGAAAAGCCTTACTGACCAACTTGAACAAGTGGATGAAATACAGTATAACCATATCAATGTGGAATTCAAAGTATCGTGGCACAGAAAGCAACATCGCAACAGCAACCACAGAAAGAGATGGTAAATAGTAGATGCGGAATAAGTAGGAAAAAAACTGTATTGTAATAATAATGCACAGAACCAAAAAATTCAAGTGAAAGGTGTGCTAGATTGCAGAGGTTTGAATTTACCTTTAGTGTGTGATACTTTACCTTAAAGCCTTCTGACCTCAAAATTTACACCTTCTTGTGCCGCAAATAAGAAATGAGACTGTTGGCTAAATTCAAATCTCTCTTGTCATGCATTGTACGTAAGCTAAATATAATTCTTGAAAACACATCTTTTTATATCGCTCATGGAACCATTAGTGMTTGAATGATGCATAACTAACTAAATCTAATATTAAAGCTTATAAAAGTATASTTGTTAATGGTAGTCAGAGTACAAACACTAAAACTGTGCAACATAAATACCACTAAATACTGCTGAAGTATGCTAATTCTATTGTTTTCTATTGTTTAATTAACACTATTTTGTAGTAAATAGTGGAAAGTGCTGCACACATTAATGTTTGTACTCTATATAATATTGATATCTACAGTACCAGAAGGAAGACCGTCAGGTGTATCTGCAACACCAAAGTCATCAACAAGCATTGAAGTAACATGGAAGGTATATTTCTAAGTAAAAACCAGTCGTATGACTTCCATATATGGACGTCCCTATCAATGGCTCGCATGTACATATAAGTCTGTCAAATCCCTATATAAGGTTATTTAATTTTCTTATTCAATATTACGTACATACATTTCGTTATTCATGAGCTTCACTACCTATTCAAAAAATATCACATAAAATTCATGTTCCTTCAAGCTGAATTAACTCATTATTTAA